GTTAATCCTGCTGAGTGTCTGCGCAGCAGGTTGATCCCCGACCTGCAGGAAAATTCTGCAAGTTTCCACGTGAAGATATTCATGGCTGCTCTTGCACAACAAGACCATGGGCTGTTTATCTTTGATATATAGACAAAGGTACGTGAAATTAAATATATTCTCTTCTGTTGGAGAATGAGGCTTCTAAATCTCTCCAGTTCCTCTCCGGAGCCAACCCCACGACTCACCTTCTCCCAGGGTCTGCTTCAGCAAGTCATGCTTGGCCTGCAGCTTGGTGATCAGGTTGCTGCCGTTCAGATACTCCTTGAATTTCTGCAGTGAACAATAAAACGGCAGTCAGGGCTGCTGGCAGAGCTGCTGCTCACGCGGCCGCCGCAGGGCCAGGGCTGCTCCCTGCAGCTCCGGCACGCGGCCCTCGGGCAAGGGAACGGGCAGAGGTGCCAGTGCCCGGGGCTGGGGCTGCTGCTCGCGCTGAGCGACGGCGACGCGCGGCGTCACCCCCCCTTCATCCCCACACGGCTCCCTGACACTCAGGAGCAAACAACTGTGCAGGCAGGAGGAGCAGCGAAGACAGAGGAAAACGGAAGCCAGAGAATCAGAAAGATCGCAAATGCCTGCAAGAAGCATCTAAAAAACCAACACAATGCAAAACCAAAACTGCTATGGTTTTTCACCCCCTTTTTTTTTCTCCCCAAATTGGAATAACAACACTGTTATAAAGAAATTAGAAACCCTTCTATGCATATTTAAATACCACAACATGCTACTAACCTTAGCATCAACTATGTTTAAACGAGGGGCAGTGCTGCTGAACTGATGTCCTATGGCTTGTGCTACAAGTATTTCAACAGAAAGCATAAAGCTCTGCACAGAGGTCAAGCACCAGCCGCAGGGACACACAGCAGCCCAGGAACCGCCACCAAACAGTGACACCCTGCAAGCCCAGCTGGGAGCTACCCCAGCGACTCTGTAAGGTTGGGGTCACAACTGGGTTCTACAGTTGTTCCTTCTGAAATAGGAGTAAAAAAGCTTGCCAGTCCCCATGCATTGCCATGCCCCTGGGAAACGCATTCCAAATCCGAAGCAAACAGGAGACAAAGCGAAACTCTTCACTAATGAGCAGGAAATCGGGACAGGGCCCTAGCAATTAATGCCGTGTGTCCCATACTGCACAAGACGAGACTCACTGTGAAGTAGAACATTTCAGTTTCCTGTTGGTTGGCTCTCCTCTTGGCAATGTTGATTTTACTCATGTAGGTCTCCGAGGCAGCGGATTTGACCGACTCAGTGGAGCGACTATGCTGGAAGGCATCTGAAACATCAAAATCTTCCACTGTCAGCATGTCCTGCAAGGTCTGCATCGTCGCGTCCAGAGTTTTCCGCACCTATCAGAA